GCGTCTCCCGTAAATGTCGCTCCATAAGAATATTCATTTTCTTCAGGGCACCTTTATTTCTCTACTCTATGAGATTCCTCCTAGGTCTTTTCCTCAATCTAAGCGTCGTTGCTCAGAATACCTACCGACCTGTGGGCACCTATATGCGTCTTAGATCCGAAGGCTCGGGCGGTTTGCTCATGTTCGACCGTGACGCTGATACCCTGCAACTCATCGTCAGACTTGGTGACTGTGTTGCGGCGGCCCATGACGTGCCCTATAGGGCCGTTGGGGTATCCAGCAGTACAGGATTCTGGGTGGTCCCTGATTACAGTTCGAGTAGCTTCAAAGCGAGTCTCGATGCCTGCAAGGACCCCTACGTTAACAGCGAATCCTTCAACCACTTCGCGGTTGTGAGGAAGGGCGACACCCCCATGGGTGAGATTTCTGTACATATTGGTGGTGGACGCAGATGGATCTTCGAGCTGAGCCGCGGTGAGGAGAGCCCAACAACTGCCCCTACTACTACTAGGACGCCCTACACCACTCGTGCTCCTACTCCTACTACTACAATGCCCTACACCACTCGTGCTCCTACTCCTACTACTACTGCTCCCTCTCCATCTCGTGGAACGCCTCAGGGGAGATATGAATATTCGCAGTCGCCTAACGCGGCCTCGATCGTATTCAACGAGGATAGCCAGCATATGCGCTTACATGTGAACCTCAATGGTTGTGGTAGTAGTGCCTACCATATCCCATACACTATCTCCGGAATATATGGCACTGAGGAACAGTTTTGGGTTTTGCCAGACTACAGCGGTACCAACTTGAAGAGGCTCATTGAGCGTTGCTCCGACCCTGTCGTACATGGTGGTTCATTCGAGCAAATCCTGGTGAAGGCGCAGAATGGTGTTCCGATGGCCGAATTGAGGATATTTGTCGGAGGCAACACCCTGTGGGAATTCTCTCACAGTAGTATCCCTACACCTCGCCCTACCGTCCCACGTACCACTCCTCCGCCAACTCCTACTACTCTACCACGTACCACTCCTCCTCCAACTCCTACTACTCTACCACCAGTTGTACCAACAGGACCTGCCCGCCCGAAGGGGCTCTATGATGCTAAATCTGATGGAGTTTCTGGACAGCTGGTATTCTTCCAGACAGATGAACTCCTTTTCACCATGTATATCACTCTTGGTGGTTGTCGTCTTCATTTCGAGGATATACCCTACACGATGCACGAGGCCAATGGTGCTTCCTGGGTGGTCCCTGACTACAGCTCTACCCGCGTGGCCGATACATTGAGCCACTGCAGGTTCTACCCCAACTCTAGATATGAACTAAGTGATCTACAGAACATCGAATTGAAGAATGCTCATGACCCCGCCCATCAGACGCTAGAGATCTACAGGCTATCTAGCACGTATGGGAGGGCGCAAGCGAAAATATTCGAGAACCAGTAGAAGAGGTTGCCGATTCTAAGGAGATTAATAACCTAGAAAAGTCTCACTAGGGTATTTTCATTTACATTCAGACTTTTAGTCTACTCCTGAGCAGCAACGACAATGAACGTTGTATCAGACTCATTTTTGGCTGTTTTGGGCTTTCCTCAAATATTTGATTTGAGAAAAACATGGTATGTTGTGTAAATCATAGTGATAAATGACAAGGGAAAAGCGTGGGGAAATATGTGAAAATTTTTGGGAAATCTCTGTAGGCTTCCGTACATTTCTAGTGACATTCATATATAAACTCCTATAACTAGTGGGGAAGCTTCTGAGCTCAGATGAGGAAAGCAAACTTATATTATAACAGCACTGCAAGAAACAAGTGGTAGTTCATTCGATATCCCTTGTTGTTGATACTGTTGTTTTATTGGCTCACATAAATGGTTACGGTAAAGCCCCAAAATGACGCTGTCTAGCACTTTCCTCATAGACTTGCAATGAAAAATACAAAAACTATATGAACATCATGCACTTGCGTGCTCAGTGAGGACTGCTCACTATTATCGCACTCGCCGTTCGCAGACACAAATTTGAAGTAATTTGCAGAGGAACCAACTATTGTGTTTGGTGTTGATATTCTCTATTTCTTCCACAATCTCCTTAAACCGACGGCGTTAGTTCATATATTCGGGTTGTTCATGATGAGTACAAAGTCAATAAAAATACAGAAAAATGACTTCACCGGGGATCGAACCTGGGCCGCTATTATGAAGGATCTGGCGGCGCTTAGGGTGGGCAATTCAAGCTGTTCATAATGGGAATACTTTTTTCAACTGCTATTCATAAACTTATCGCTCATCTCATAACCTAACACGGGCAATTCCTCTTTCACTTCAACGGTGAATATTACTCTCAGTTTCCCGTATCATTGGTAGTATAAAATGCCGTTACCTTCCCTACCATATCAACAACAACAGCATCTTATGGGTGCTATTGAATATACTACTGCTCGCACCTGCCTTACCTCTCTGGCTGGCCGAGTACCACTTCATACCACTCCTCCGACAAATCCCACACCGCCAACAACCAGAGCGAGTCGTCGTGGGTTAGCATCATCATGCAACAATAGACAACAAACTCGGGCACTCTTCATGAGCAGTGCTGATCAGAAAAGGATGTATCAAACGCGACGGAAAACAGTAAGATATTTTACTAGGTTGATTTGTAAGATTCATTTCAGGTCGATAATAATGCGTATTACAAACTACTGGGATTGAGTCGTGATGCTTCCGAAAGCGATGTCAAAAAGGCGTATAAAAAGATGGCTTTCAAGTAAGGAATTATTTCTGTTCATCATATTTATTTCCCAGTGTTGAAATGTATGTTTGCTCTTCTCAGCTGAGCTCAAGTTTATAGGAGTTTTCACACAAAGTCGGGCAAGAGTGTCTTGAGAATTTCCCAAAATTTTCTCAGAATTTTCATATTGTCATCAACACATGTAGTTGAGCATGTGCTTATTTTCCCACTACTATGTTCACTACAGTAAAACTTTCCATGCGTTCGTGACGAACTCTATTATAAACGCCTTGGAGCTTTCTCATTCAAGCGAAATGTTATGTATGGTATTAATGTTATGGTATGTCATGAGCATTGGTGATGTTTTTAGGTACCACCCGGACAGACCGGAAGGAGATGCTGAAAAATTCAAGGAAATTTCAGAAGCGTAATATCACTATTATGACAAGTTTTGAACGTTCATAAAAAATAGTGAAACCTTTGGAAAATATTTATGAATTTTCCAGTAGATATTGCGCAAGGAGGGAAAAAATTTACTTTTTTCCGCAGGTCTGTTTCATATTTTTTCCCTCACGCGCTGGAAATTAAGTTAAGAAATTTTAACAATTTGTGATAATTTTCATTACATCAGTTACGAAGTCCTCAGCGATGCGGATAAGCGACGTATTTACGACCAGTACGGTGAGGAGGGGCTGAACGGTGCTGGCCCTTCCCCTGGTGGCGCTGGTCCTGGTGGGAACCCTTTCGCCGGTGCTGCGGGGTAATACCACTACTACTACTACTACTACTACTACTACTACTACTACTACTACTACTACTACTATAGTAGAGCATAATAGTTTCATTCAGATTTCAAGATCCGTTTGATCTATTCGCACAGATGTTTGGAGGCGCTGCTGGTGGTGGTGGGCGTAGACCGCATTATGGTGGACAAGAGCAAGTTTTAAGAAAAACACCAGATGTTACTTATGCGATGCCAGTGACACTAGAGCAGCTTTATAAAGGGTTTACTCAGCGGGTTAAACATCTTCGGGAGAAGAAGTGTGCTTCTTGTGACGGTTTCGGAGCGCACAGGTTCGATCCCTGCACTCGTTGTGATGGTACTGGAATTGTTGTTGAAACTCGACAGATGGGATATACTTTATTTCAACAGCAATCGCCTTGTCCAGCATGCAAAGGGGAGGGGTGTAAGATACCTAAAGATGCGCTTTGTAAGGCTTGCAACGGCAAGGGGTATACAAAAGAGGAGGAAATTCTAACGGTTAGCGTTCCTCCTGGTGTTGAAGATTATCATACTATCACCTTCCCTGGGAAAGCTTCTGAAAGGGTCCAACATCAAACTGGTGATGTTGTCATTACTCTCGTGCCATCTACGTCACCATCATCACCTTCCCAGTTTGCGCATAGACTCTCTCACGATTTGGTTTTGGACAGAAGCATTACTTTGGCTGAGGCTTTGTGTGGTTTCTCATTCCCTTTGAGGCACCTAGATGGTGATTCCTACGAGGTTGAGAGTAATGATAGTACAGCTGTGGTCCGTCCTGGTGATATGTGGGTCTTGAAGGGTATGGGGATGCCTGTACCTGCTAATGCTGCTGTTGATAATAAGGGAGGAAAATATGGAGACATGTAATAATGAGAATAGAAAATATGTTGGAAATTTACAAGGTTTTATTTGTCCGAAAATTTCGCAAAATTTCCTCGTTTTTATCAATACGTGTAGATTACCATGTGCGTGATTTCCTGTACTGCGAAATGGTGACGAAATTGTGAGGAGATTTTGGTCAATTGTGTGTTCGCCATGAATTTGTAATATTGACAAAATGTTGGGAGTTTTTACTATGGCCAGAACTCGAGGGTTTATGACTATAGAAATTCATAACTATATAAATGTTTTACATTCGAAATGTAAAGAAATATTATAATTTGTTTATAACTCTGCCCGACTATTCGGTCACTGATTGAATAGTTAAAACTTTATCAGTGGAATTGACAAAAATACTTTTCTGAATTCTCGAGTGGAGGCATCGTGGTGTTATCGCAAGAGAACAATTTTAATGTGGAAATTCTTTGAATTTTCCTTCAGCAGAAAATTTTCGCACTTTTTGACCATATTTCTATCAGTTTCAACTTATTTAACCTCTTGTGGGTTTCACTAATAAAACTTGAGTTCGTCAAGTGTTTTATACACTCTAAGAATGGACCGAATTGTAGACTTGAAAGAAATAATTTACTTGTTTTATCTCGTTTTCTTTATATTTTATCATCACCATTATTTGAAAAAAAATCATTCGTATGAGCGCTTGTGTAGGTATATTCGCTTCAAGGTTGCATTTCCAACAGCGTTATCGGATATTCCTGAAGACGATCGGATCAGAATTAAGGAGAGTATAGCAAATACACTACCAAAAGTTGAGGAGGAAAATGTGAAGACTCCGGAGGATGCTGGTGAGAGCGGTAGTAAAAGTATCATCGAGTCGGTGAAAAGTTGGTTCAATTCGAAAACGGGTGATGATGAAAATGGGGATAATAATAATACTACTAGTAGTAGTGATTCTACTAAAAAAGAAGAACCGAAAACTGCAGAGGGAAAAGCACAGAAAAAACGCCCGAGTAAGAAGTCTCATACGTTGTATGCCCAACGGTTGAGTAATACTGAGAGTGAAGTCTTGAAGAAGCGAATTGAAAATGAGGAGAGGCGATCAAAAGAAAGAGAAGCGAATTACAAAAGGAGAGGTAGGAGCAAAAAAAAATAAAAAAAAATGCGGAAATTTTCGATTTTGTTCAGGACATGAAGATGGTGGTAACCCTCAATGTCATCAACAGTGATGGTGATTAGTTTTTTCGTGGTAGTTTCTGTGTATGTTTCCGTTGAAATTATTGTTCTCTTTCTTTTATGGTCGTTATACTCAACACCGATTCACACTATTGATGATACCGGTACTGCTGCACTATTTTGTTGCTGTTGACACTGTTGTGTTGGAGGAATATGTGGTCGGCATGTGGGAGTTTATATACGAATTCGGGTAGAAGTGTGCAGAAAGCATTGAGAATTTCCAAAAAAAATTCTCCCAGAATTTTCATATTTTCACCAATATGTGTAGTTGACCATGTGCATATTTTCCTACACTGCTTATTCCAGTACCACAATTTCTGTTGATATATGAATATGAACATATAAACTCTCAGCAAAAAATCACGAAATTTTTTAGAGGAAAATTTCATCAAAAATCAGAATATTTTTTATCACCGACGTTCCATTATCGTATTGTATTCTTTAGAAGCAGTTATCTCTCCGTTGTTGTTGTCATTCACTTCTTCCTATCCGTTTGTTGGAAAATTATCAGAAAAGAAGTATTATTAACATCAAATGATATTGACTCCTTTTATGAGTTGGCCGAAGTTCACATTTTTGCTGTTTTCTTGTAGGTTTTTGGAACCCCTTATCAGTCGGTCGTCGATACGGGAAAACGATGTTCATCCATTTGAACAAAAGCATTTCGCTTTTCCTCCTATTTAGATCCTAAATAGGAATCAGTCTCGAATAACACGAGCTGTGATATCAAAAAATGCGGCAGTTTCAATTCAACTGAACATCAAAGCAAGGCGATAATTATCGTTGTGGATGTGATCAGATTACGGTATTAGTGCTTCTCCATAATGGCCTCTGCTACTACTACTCATCATCATCCCACTACCGCACTCGCCAACACTTCGTCAATGCTCGAGCCTATGCTCAACACTGAAGTGCTTCTAGTAACAGCAGATGGTAAAGTGCTGTTGGGCAAATTCAACGGGTAGTAATGTAGTTAATTACTATTCACACATTGGGTTCTTATCAGGTTTGATCAATCGTTGAATGTAGTATTGAGTGAATGTAAGGAGAGGGTTTACTCTACAGTGGAAGGAGTTGAGACGCTTCATCACGGCCTCTACCTCGTTAGAGGAGACGATGTGTAATAACTCAAATTACCACTCGTATAATCGTTCACGAAGCGATGCTAGCTATAATAGTATCCTCCAACATTTGATAGTAGTAGTGATTCTGTGCTATCGGTGACACCTCAAGGTGACACCGGAATTTCTCGATAGAATAAGTCGCTTATCAGCTGATAGTAGAGTGTGTTTACATCTTGTAGTAGAATATTGATTCTTCAGAAGTATGCAGCATATTATTATTCTCAGAGTGTCCATTGGTGAGGTTGATGAGGATATCGATGCCAGAATAGACCAATCCACAGTTATGGCCGCCCAGTTGAAGAGTGTAACACCACGGAATTATTTCATCTTATTTGATCTTTCTCTCATAGATACTCCATTAACAACGTAATTACGCTGATTACGACGATGAGAAATCACCGCTTTCTGAGTACTCCTATATTTGCGTTTTTGAGTTCCAAAAAATCAATACCCAACAATTAACATTTTTTCCAAACACTGAACGCAAGAGTAATGATTGTTGTGAAGCTGCTCTTCTGACGACCCATTGTTATAACCATCATTGCTAGAGCTGATCCATCATCATTGTAGTTGATGCTGATTACTCCTGAGCAACTTCCTCCTCAGCAGGCTGGGCCTCCTCCTCTTCCTCAACGGCAGGCTTGGCGGCCTTAGCGGCTTGCACGGCGACAGTGTCGAGAGTCTGGCGGCCCAGTGAGGTGATGATACGACCACCCTTCATGGCATCACTCTGCGCGATGAAACCCATCTTCTCCAACTGCTGGAGCAAGAACCTGTGAAAATGTTAGTTAATTATAACCAATCATAATGGTGTATCCGATCTGCCCGAGTTTATGTTACTACCTGTTGATCTTGCCAGCACCTAGAGTGAAGTGAGTACGGCAAGTGCCAGAGTTAGACTTCATCCCGAAAATTTTACGGAGAGCACCGACACCGATGTTGGGGCGGATGTAACTGAGAAATCCACGTTGAAAAAATGCTATTCCGGAGATGTCGTCGTTACATTCGGCGAGCAATGGCGGCAGCGCGGATGTAGAGATAGTCATCATCATAGGGGGCGAGCTCACGCTGAGTGCCGGTCTTGATGTACTCGGCCCACTGAAAAGAGGAAACGATGATAAGAATTGAGTTGTGAAAATAGGTGGTTATGGTAGTACCTTGGGAACCTCCATCTGACCCTGAGCCTTCAGGTGGGCAGCAAAAGCCTTGATGAAAAGCTCAGCGGGAACGTCCTTGACGGTCTTAGCATCATATTTGGCGACGAGCTCACACATGATGGCGATGGTAGTTAGAAGTACACAACAACGTCTGGAGGGTCAGGCCGTCGTCCAGCACGGAAGATTATTCAAATCGATCACGTGATCGATAGCCTCAGATCAAGCGCGCCGTCCTCTTCGAAGGCCTCTTACTCTTCAGGGTGTCGAGTCCACACTGATGATCTGTCAGCAAGGGGAGTGAACGTATATTTCACTCATTTCCATTGTAACCCTCCACGGTGTATAAGTATGTTTCCATGAGAAAAGAAGGATGAAAGCTTGTTAAAGCAAAGAACCACTACCGTAAAACGATTTCCATGAAAAGATGATGATAACGTTATATGAAATCTGTTGATAGATCATAGTTCACGACTAAGTAGCCTTGCAAGGAGCCTGTACTATCAATCTCGCTATATAAGATGTAGATATATGTTAGACATGAGTTTTCCCCTAAAATCTTGCCTACATTCAGATTGGTCCTTTCACTCGCTAATTTCCTGTTTAGTGAGATGACCATTTGGGGCAGCTATGCCATTCTGTGAGTGTTATCGTCCATTGCAGTAGAGGGATATCATAAACGGCCGGTAAATGCACCCCAGTCGTGGGTTGGCTGCCAACAGGCAGCCGGGGCAGATATGCCAATGGTTGGCATATCTGCCACGCATAGGATGATTCATTTGACAGCGAGATTGATTTTCGCATCCTGTCGTCGAACTGGAGTTGGTAACTCCGTGCCGATTCATCTACGAGATCGTACTTCCTGTGCATCCGGAATTGATCGTAGGTCATGTCTCCGAATGACCTCAAGCAAAACTTGACAATCACCAACAATCTCAATGGCATTCCACCGTTATGTGGTCTGTGCGCACCCTGCATGATGGCGCTGTTTATTCCCGGTTGGTGCTGGTATGTACTCCGAAGCTGTGGCCCAGTGTGCCAGCACTGCTGCGACAAGGTTGCTGACATTTGATATTTCGGGCTGTCCAACCATACACCCTCTCTTCCGACACATCATTGTTTTTTATCTTTTTCATCTTTTGAATCGCTGCCTTGCGCTCATCAATGGACAAGGCTATGATATAGTCAGTTCGTGAGTGATGAACACTTCCAACGATGAGATGCCACCTCCCTTGGAAGACTGTTCTGAGCAAATTTCATCACTCAAGAAAAGGTGAGGAAGAACGATTAGAATTGCAACCATATGCTACGCTACTTCCGGCCAGGAAGAATTATAGTAACATTTCATAATGATCCTGATGGAAAAATCCCAAGTATGGAAGATCTCATCAAGCAAGGGTATGCCCTGAAGAATGTGAATCGAGGCAGACAGGGCAGTGGGGAGAAATGCGCACATGCTCAACTACATGTGTTGGTGACAATATGGAAACTATGAGAAATCGCGTTGGTTTCCGATCAT